TTGTTACGAGACGTTTGATTTTTGATAACATTCTGCTTGCTCATGAGCTGTTGGAATTTATTAGAATGCGGAAAAGGGGTAATAAATATTTTTTTGCCTTAAAATTAGATATGAACAAGGCTTATGATAGGGTGAATTGGGAATTCCTTTGTCGGGTTCTTGATATTATGGGTTTTAGTGCTCCTTAGATTCAGCTCATCTTTCAATACCTCTCGACAGTGTCCTTTTCTATCTTGGTTAACTCGCAGAAGTCTGATTGGTTTCAACCAACTTGTGGGCTGAGGCAAGGCGACCCATTATCATCTTACTTGTTTTTAATAGTTGTTCAAGCTCTGTCTCCGGGGTTTGATAATCTAGCTTGTCAACGGGTGTCGTGGGATTTCCATTTGTCGACGAGCGCCCTTGGTATCGCATCTTTTGTTTGCGGATGATTGTTTAATCTTTATGCCGTTTGTCATGGATGAGGTTTGGTGTCTTAAATGGTTTCTAGAGGCCTTTTGTCACCAATCTGGGTTACGTATTAATTTTCAGAAATTGGAATTGTTTGTTAGTCCTAATATGTTGCCTTCATATGGCGAATTTCTTAGGGATTGTTTGGGGATCAAGCTCGTTGTGAAGTTTAGCATCTATTTGGGAGTTTCGTTATATGTGGGTAGTCGAAAAATAGGACTTATTTGTAGGGGTGTTAAATAAATTGCAAGCTAAATTACAGGGATAAAAAAGAAATTTTCTTTCTTTCGCGAGAAGGTGTGTTTTGGTGGAAAGCTCCATTCTATCTATCCCCATTTATCTCATGTCGGTCTTTAAGGCCCCGGCTTATTTTATTCGCCAGGTTCAGAGTATTGTAACTAACTTTCTTTGGAAGAAAAATGATGAGACAGGACTTGTGGGGAAACATTGGTCGTCTCTATGTTTACCTAAACAGGAGGGAAGGCTGGGTTTGAGGAATCCGGGTGCTCTTAATTAAGCACTTTTGGCCAAAACGGCATGGAGAATTTTGATTGAACCTTAGGCCTCATTTGGCAACCGAACTTTTTAGCCAAAAAGTCAAAAAGTTACTAAATTAGCCAAAAAGTCAACAACCCATACAAAAAAGTTAAAGATTCTCTTTTCTCTCTACTTTTTGCACATCTTTTCGTAAAAAGCCAAAAAGTCATCCTAAACATACTAATTTTTTTTAGCTCATATTTTAGCCAAATAGCTAAAAAGTTACTAAATTAGCCTGTTCCCAAACGAGGCCTTAGCCTCTTGTAAGTAGAGTTTTAGTGGCTTAATATTGCCGCAAGGAGGGTTTTGTCTGTGCAAAGAAAAAAGGGGGGAGTTCTTGGGGTTGGAAGAGTATTCTTTGGGGTAAGGAGCTTATTCTAAAAGGTTTGTTGTGGGTGGTGGGTAATGGGAATAAGATTGATCCGTTTGAGGATAACTAAATTCCTACAACGAGTAATGTGATGATGGGCCGAGGTTTGGGACAACGTTTTAATTCTCTTAGGCCATGTTTGTTTGGGCGGACTGGATGAGCATTCCCATGACTAATAGTCCTAGGACTACGAATCTGTTGGATTATGTATCCTATCTTAACTAATAGTCAAGTTTAAAATAATTAGTCCCTACTTCAATTGTTTAACCAAACATCGGATTAATAATTTTATTGAACTATTAGTCCAATCCCAAGCTCATGTTCACTCAAACAAACATGGCCTTAAGGTGGAGCATTTGATTAATTCTCAACTTCATCAATGGAGGGCACCTTTAATTCGAGTCCTTTTTCCTAATGATTTGGCCAAGCATATTTGCAATATTCATCTTCCTATGGCAGATAAAGACGATAAATTGATTTGGCATTTGACTCGAGATTGAAGGCATACAGTCAAGTCCGGGTACTATCAGGTGGTGTCCGATCGTGCTGTTCATTCCTCAAATTGCCAGGGTATTAGACCAAACTGTTGGCAGTAGCTTTGGAATTTTAATATTCCACCTAAATAGGCTCCTTTTATTTGGAAAATTTTACATAGAATTTTTCCAGTTAAGGTCTTTCTTCATTCATGAGGTGTACCAACAGATCTTAGTGGTCCACACTATTGCGCAACTGAGGAAACTCTTGAGCATTTTTGTTTTCAATGTTTACACTCCCAATAAGTTTGCAGAGGGTCTCGGCTAGGCCTGGATTTTAACATAGGAGAAGCTATGTTAGTTCAGGTGTGGATGGAATCTTGGTTTAGGGAAGCTCCAGACGAGGAAGCAGTAGTGGAATCCATCAAAGTCTTGTGGAGTCTTTGGCTTCAAAGAAATAAAGCTGTCTTTGACGGGGTGGTTGATACTCCGCATCAAGCTTTCCAACAAATCCGTCAACAAGTGTGGTGTCCCAATGATCCAGACTGGAAAAACCTTAGGGGCCAGATTCTTTCATCTCACAGTTCTTCTTTTTGTAACCCAATTCATGCTTTTGCTGCCATTAACAATTTGTCTTGGCTACCTGATCCTCGTTTTGACAGGATTTTGATTGATGATGCATAGAGTCAGCACACCAAACAAGCGGGGGCTGTGTGGGTTGCTGTGGATAGTAGTGGTCATGTTATTGCTTATAAGCAATACACTTTTGTGGCTCTATCTACATTAATGACTGAAGTAACAACATGTTTCCAAGCTTTGAAATGGTGTGTCCAACAGCATGTTGCGACTATCTCTATCCTTATGGACTGCCAAGTACTTATTCAAAAACTTCGACAGAATGGTACCGAGGATTAGGAGACAATGCATATGTTATCTAATATTAAGGCTCTTTGTAACAAGTTTGATTATGTATGCATTTCTAAGGCTTCTGGGAAGGCAGTGGAAGCAGCACATGTAGCTGCTAAGCTTGCCGCCTATAAAAGCTAACCACTACTAGTTGTATTTTGTTTCTTGTTCTATGTTATCTGATATTATGTCTTCTCAAAAAAAAAAAAAAAAAAAAAAAAAAAAAGTCACTCTATCTACTTTTTATACATATCTTCTGTAAAAATTCAAAAAATAAAAAATAAAATAATATAGTCAATTCTCAAACGGGACCTAAATATCACTTTACACTATCATCTATGAATTCATACATTTTGACTCTCTTAATTATAAAAATGTATTACTTTTACTCTTTGCCAACCCTTCAAAAGAAATGCATTTGTATGATTTTTCATAATTAAGAGAGTCAATATGTATAGATTCATAAATGGGAAATAAAATGATATTTATCAATTGAATGGATCTTAGGGCATATTTGTTTGGACGAATTGGATAAATGGAGATTGTAATCCATCGGACTGTTAATCATGTGATACATCCTTAGACTATTTAATTGAAAATAATGTGTATCTCATATTTGATTAGTCATAGAATTCGATGTCAATAACTGAGTATTCTATTAAATCATATGCTTGTTTGAGATATTATGAAAAAGTATAAATGCTCAAAAGATTATTTTATCATTTTCAATTGTTTACTAAATAATAGGAATACTAAATCTGAGTTATAATTATTTTTTATTTTTTGGCTAGAACTTTTAAAAAATTAAATAAACAAAACATCAATAAAAATTAAATAAATTTATTTTAATTTTTAGTCGAGACTTTTAAATTTTATTTTATTTTACTAAATACAATAATTCGGATGTCCAAAAATGTCATTTTATCCTCTAATCCAGAGGAGGAGTTATCCTACCATTTTGTATCTCACATCCCTTCACATGACACAATAATTCCACAAACAAGTAATTGATAGTCCGATTGAACTATTAGTCTCGCTTACATTTTTTGAACCAAACATGATACTATTACCTGAAATGAACATGAAATCTTATCTTAGCCTTCCATCCCCCCCTCCCCCCAAAAAAACCCCTTAGACCATCTCTAACGTATCATCTATTGTTTCATCAAATTTAAATTTGTTGAAAAAATATCCTTTTTGCTACTCCAATCGTTTCATCAGATGAGTATCAAATTGAGAATATGATAAATTTTTTACCAAATTGAGGGTGGCTATGACCTTTTATCATTTCATTGTTTATAGCCGTTGGAGCTGCAGGTTATTTTCACTATCGGACGACCATTTTTTCGCAAAAAATTGTAAAAAAATTACACTAGCCGGTCAACCGGCCGGACATCCGCCCGCTTGACCAGTGTTTTGATGAAAGTTCAAAATCCTCTGTTGTAGTGCATGATATTAGATGAAATTTTTACTCAAATTTAATAATAATAAAAAGAATATAACGTTGGAGATGCTCTTACCAAGTACTTTAGGGGTAAACTACCAGTAGATCTTAATAGTTTGACTTAGGCTTTGTTTGGCATGCAACACCTTTAGCCTAAAAGTTACTAAAAAATCAAAAAGCCTATAATTTATACAAAAAAGTTAAAGATTTCATTTGCTCTCTACTTTTTACATATCTTTTTATAAAAAATCAAAAAGTCATTCCAAACATACTAATTTTTTTTACCTCATATTTTAGCCAAAAAATCAAAAGTTACTAAAATAGTCTGTTCCCAAACAAAGCTTTAATTCCCATCAAGTCCTATTGAAAATAAGTTATAGTAAAATTATTGCAAAAAATAATTTTTGTGGTAATTTTTTTACATATGTCGCCAAAAATTGACAATTAGTGTTTTTTTTTGTAATAATTTTATAAATTGTTGCTAAAATTTATAATTAGTGACATTTTTTTATAAATAATTTTTCAAACTGTCATTAAAAATTGTAAATTAATGACCTTTTTTTTATGATAAATTTTTTAAATTGTCACTAAAACTTATAATTTATAATATTTTTTATGATAATTTTTAAATTATTACTAAAAATTAATAGTTAATAATATTTAATATATAATACCATTAATTATTACAAAATTTATTAAACAATAAATCCATTTATTAAAACTTGTACGTAGCTGCCTCTTTTTTGTTACATCATTTATGATCCGGCATCCACTAGTTACAGCTAATCCGCATCCATATTGGACCCGCTCCATGTACCCAACCCGCATATTATAGTACAGTACTACTAGGGTTTGGTTATAAATACCACAGACTCTCTCTCTCTCGGATTTCAATCGGCGCATCTCTTTCCAAATATCAGCACTGGTACATCCAACCAGACCCGCGGTTTCTTTGTTGCATCGCCGCCATGAGAGCTAAGGTAAAGGGCTAAGCTCTCTTCAAAACAAAAACCATTTCGATTTTGATATCTCTCTAATCGATTCCATTCTCACTTGGCAAACGATTGTTCTGTGTGTGTTTGTTTTTTTCAGTGGAAGAAGAAGCGCATGAGGAGGTTGAAGAGAAAACGCCGAAAGATGAGGCAGCGATCTAAGTAAACAATCGAGGCATTTCACAGGGACGTCTCTCGATCCTTCGGTGTCGTTGATTTTCTCTCTCTTTGTCTCAGATTTGCGTTGTTAGGTTTTGGCATCTGACTCACATTTGGTTTTAGTATTGTCTTTTTAATTTTAACTTTTATTTTTATAACAGTTGATCTATGGATTCTACGCTTTAATGAAATTTGAGTTGTTATTGATATCACTCGGTTCATTGTTTTGATGGATCGAAGTCTATAGTTTTTGATGATTTAGCTCAAATATGATTTTTTTTTTAATTCCTTTTATTTTCCTTCTCACAGTCGTTCAAAAAAGTCGAAGATTATAGTATCTATGTGAATACAATTTGTTGTTTTGTGATCTGTGGAAATGATGTAGGGTTAAGAAGCCCCCCATGGTAGAGCAATTTAATTACACATTATCTTATGGTTCTTTATTTTATTTTCATGTATCTGTCGGAGCTGAACGACTCAGTTATGTTCTAAATCAAATTATTTTTGTACTGGTATTGACTTAACAATGAAATGACAAGCAACTATATTTGAGAATTTGTTACTCAATTCTTATGAATTCTATCAATCCAATTTTACAAAATAATGTTGGTAATCAATTTTAGAATGATTTATCATTATGGGTTGGGTCGATATTGTTTGTTGTAGTGTGTTCTATTCCTATGTAATGGTATTGGCCCAGTTTGGTGGAGTTTTTTTTTAAAGCTAAAAGTTGATAATTAGAAAATAGATGTTAAAAGTGTTTCTTTCCCATTTTCAAATAATCAATTTTTTTTGGCTTATTTAAAAGCCAAACTAAATAGTTTGGTATGAACTTTTAAATTAAAATAAACTATAATCATCTCTTAGAAGTTGTAGGAAACGACATTGTGTGAAGGCTTGGGTTTCTCTCATGTTCAGTTGACTGAACTTGAGGGGTATATGGGTCCATCATAGTTTTCGTTTTGATGATCTGAACTGTTCATCCATGAAAAAAATAGGCTGATTTGATAATCATAATATTTTTTTATTTTATTGTGTTTGTTTTTATAAATTGGGACGGTTTATTTTAAAAAATATATTTGCCATCCATTTTATTAGAAATAAATGTGATAAAATGAAAATGTTACGATTATCGGATTTGACATATTTTTTTTCATGAATGATATATGTTAAATGTCATACAGAATGAATGATTCGGATTATCAAAACAGTAATGGGTCTTTCAAGTTCTCTCAAATTGAAATGTGAACATAAGAGGAACCCAATCCTTGTGGGAATGTATTGTGTGAAATTGTTATGAGAATCAAATTGTAAGCATTTAGGTGCATTGTGTAATGTGCTTTGAAAGAAAATCGAATACCTCAAGCAAGAGATCCACTTGCTATGAGGATTACTGCATACTCCATCCAGTTCTTAGTGACCTTCTCATGTATGCTTTCTCGAGTGCCATCTAACTTAATTTTAATTTAAATTGCGGAGTCAGTGACCTTATTTCTCTCTATTTTAAGCTTGAACATACAACACAATGAAGCTAGGGGTGTTAAACGAACTGAACGAGCCGAACAATTAACTGTTCAAACTTAGTTTGAAAACTTTAACGAGTTTTAAAATTTGTTCAAACTTGGTTCGTTGAACTTTGAGTCGATCTCAAACGAGCTTTCCTTGAGACAAGCTTGAGTAGTTCAGTATTTTTATTTAGTTTTAACGAGCTGAACAGGCAATTTACTGTTCAAGCTTGGTTTAAAATCTTTAACGAACTCGAAAATGTGTTCAAATTTGACTTATTTACTTAACGAATTGAGCCTGAATGAGCTTTTAGTGAACCGAATATGAGTCGAGCTCGAGCTGTTTGGTTTGTTTGTCACCCATAAATGCAGCTCTAGTTAAATTCAATTATTTGAAATAAAATGGTTGATTCTGGTTGATATGCTGTATTATATGATACAAACATTGGATATGGTAAATATGTCATTTTCTGGTTCTGGATATCTCAATGGTGAGGTTCACTGAATGCCGAATACTTGACTTGTCAAGAACATAACGAGTTACATGCAGAGTATGAATCATAATGATTACTATTTTGCCAAATGGTGCAGTCACATCCCTTGTGGATTCACTAGTTGTTTATTCAATTATTAGTAAAATTGTTATTGACAGCTTAACTGTGCATGCTTCGTGGTTAAGCTCATCAATGAACCACCCACTTGACCCATCTTCACACCTCTGTCCAGCATCCATTCCCAAGGGATATGGAACTCCCTGTCTTGTGGACTCTTTTAATGTTGTTTACACTTCAGTTCCAATGTGCATAGGGTTGTCCTTGAATGACGATACTTAGGATTCAAAGTTCTTCAGGTCCCCTAGCTAAAAGCAGTTTCCCACAATGCGTCCACTTTTTCTCTGGCCACTGTGGGAAGTATTTCAATACAGCCCTTTTGTCAATCAAGCAGGATAGTTCTCCATCCAGCCATTTGACAAATGCCTCAGCTTCAGGCATATCTGTGAAGGCTGAATGAAGTCTCCACTGCCCTTGTTTATAGAGTTTATGACTTGTGCTTGCGCTTTTGTATCTGACCTTATCTGTATTGAAAGTACAGTATCAGCAGATCATAGTATGCTTTGGATGAGTGAATATTAGGAACAAAAAAATGTTAGAGATTCCAAAACTTGTATCAAATTTTCTACCAAATGCGGCTCACACCATTTGGGTCTCACCCAGTGAGACATTTGGTAAAAGTTTTGGGTCTCTAACATTGTTGAAGAACAAAACGAATTTGATATGAACACCACGGCCATCAAACGGCACCCCTGGCACGTGACACTGCTTTTGATTGAACAAACAAGTTTGACTAAGGTACTGATCAAAAAAAGAAAAACAAGTTTGACTAAGAGGTAGAGGGGCGGCAGAGGTGGTGCTGGTGCTTGTAGGTCTTTGTATTCATTTACTTTATGTGAAGGGATGAAAGTAGTAGGCTTTTTGGTTGTGATGGTGGTTTTGTTACTTTTGGAATTTTTCTCTGTTTTTTTGCTGCATAATCCAGGAAATCTTCAGGGTGGCAACATTAATGCAACTTCCACAGTTTTTCAGAGGTGAAAAATCACGAGAATGCTAACACAAATGCAGTGTATATTGGTTTAACACAAGCAATTGTTGGAATGCAAACTCATTTCAGCCTTTCAAATGAACCATCTTCTCAATTTGATAGTTTAACAGCTCTCTACACCAGCTCAGTCCATAGTGATCCCAAATTAGCAAAATACACATCAAGTGGGTTCAGAATTTTAGGCGTGACATTTCTTGTGATTATTGTCTTCAGTGTTATTATATTCTTTTTTCTTTTTCTTTTTTTAAATGCTCATATTATTAGGTGGTCATTTGTTCTGGAATTACCAAATAACTTCTCAATCGGGCATCAAACCAGTCCTCAATAATATGGTGCCTTAGGCCTGTGACATGCTCTCTCTCTCTCAAAAAAAAAAAAAAAAACTGGCTAATGAATTATTTCAAAAGAAACCTTACAAAATTTCTATGGTTTGATTTCAAGTTCAAAAAAGCAAAAGTAAAAAAAAAACAAAAAAAAAAAAAACAGTGGACATATATAGTTTATTCTCAACCACTACTGGAAGAGTTGAACGCATAGAAATTAAACCATTACCAAGCATTCAAATCGAAGTCCATATATAAAGCTCATTCTTAATCACCACGAGTGCCCCAAAAAATGCTAAATAATTAATCCAAAAATGCCTCAAATTATTTATTAATTAAACTTCAAAAAACAAGAAAGATTTATCCAAAACTAACCAAGAAGCCTCATTTCAAATCTGGATCAAGATATATAGATTGTTACTGAGGATTGGGGAGGCGACTATTGGCAGAAGAGACTCTTGATCCCCACTCGAGTAGCTCTTTGCTCGTATCATCCTTGTGAACGATCACTTCAATGAAACACATACAATCACTCTTCTCCCCAGTTGCCTTTGCAATTGCTTCAATAAGCTCCTCTTCGCAGCGTACCTACAACAAACATACATAAGAAACTGTTTTGCATTTGATTTGTGTGTTTAACCACTATTGCACTAAAAAAAGTTCAAAATTTCAAATTACTATATCATTCAAACCCTCTAACCTTCATTGTCCAACAATTGCCTTCACCATTGTGGATAGCATCGATTAGCCCGGTGTAGTTCCAATTCTTGATTACATTGTATGGTCCATCGTGTATCTCAACCTCAATAGTGTATCCTCCATTGTTTATCAAGAAAATGATAGTCTTTTGCTCGCAACGAATCATAGTTGACACATCTTGTGCAGTCACCTGCCAGCCAAATCAAATATCACTAACTTGTATGAATTCCATTTCATGATTTCTCCAACTCTTTATGTCTTTACGCTGTATTTGGTTGAGAGATTTAAGAAAGGTTTTGAAAATAAAAAGGAAAAGGAAAAAGATAAGATGAAATGTAAATAAAATATACTTATATTTCACATAATTTTACACACTTTTTTTCTTTCCTTTTCTAAATTACTTCCCAAATCCCTTAACCAAACATAACATAAAGATTTCAATGATGTGATGGTGTTACAATAAAGGGATTGCAATAGAAATCCCAATGGATTGGCCTAGTGGGTGTAGCTTGAGACTTGGGGTTTGTGCTCCATCCAGGTCTCAGGTTCAACTCTTACTAAGTGTTATCAATTTTATGGGACCATGCCTGTGGGCTCTGTTTAAGATTTTCTTAATCCATGTGGAGGGGGGCTTTGTATGGTCCTTGGAATTAGTTGAGATGCGCCTAAACGGGCTCGGACATCAAGTCAAAAAAAAAAAAAGAAAAAAAAAAAGGGGATTGCAATAGAACTAAAAATGGGTTCAAAACATTGCATCAAACAAACTGAAGTAGGTTCTTACTTGGAAGCTCCCATCACCAATGCAAGCAATCACTCGCTTATCCGGTACAGCCTGGGCGTAGCCTAGTGTTGCACCAACAGACCACCCAATTGAACCATACTGCATTTGGAATTCATACCTGCAACACCAACTTTTGTCCTCTGAGGTTTGTTAATAAACTTGACACAAAAAACAATGCTAAGGATTTTGTTCCCTACCCACATCCTTCTGGTAATTTTAGCTTTTGACAGTTAAACCAAGAATCCCCTGTCTCGGCAATCACAGCCGTGTCTTGCGAAAGCATCTTCTGTATATGCTGGAAGAGAACATTAACCCTCAAAGGCTCACCAGGTTCACATTTCAAAGGAACTCCTTCAGAAACATAGATGCGATGATAGTTTTCATAAGCAGTATTGTTGCGAGCAATCTTTTTTGCAAGTGCACTTAGAAAGTCCTTCATTAAAACACATCCGAAAGCAGGCCCATTAGCAACCACCACACGATCAGGCTGCACGATTATCACCTTCTCTTTCTTGAGAAGGAGTGAGTACCCAACTGAGCTATAGTCATTAAAAATGGGTCCAACAAACAAGTAAGCATCGGCTGATTCCACAATCTCTGCACAAAAGGCAGTGCTCACGGCACCCCAGTACGTCCCAATGAAGTGAGGGTGCTGCTCTGGCACGAGTCCTTTGGCCGATGGCATAGCAGAAAGAGCATAACCACTAGCATCTGCAAGTTCAACAAACGCATCACAGGCTTTTGCAACTCGGAGTTTAGGCCCTCCCACCATGACTGGCTTCACTGCCTTGTTCAAAAAGGCCGCGGCTGCATCCACAGCAGCTTCAAGCCCTCTCTTATTACTCAATCTGTATCAAGATTTCATAACAATCCCAACCCAAAATCAAATCTCTTGTTGTGATCAACCTAGTTTTGAAAAATTGAGAAGTCAATATTGTAGAAAATGAAAATGAGTTACCGGGGCGAGATTGCAAATGGAATGGGCTCTCTGCTAAAAGTTGGGTGAGAGATGCCAGGCAAATTGCAACTAATGCTTATATAGACAGGCTTGCTTTCTTTCAATGCTGTAGAGATGGCTGTATCAATTTGTTCATGTGCATCTTCCAAATTATTTACAACAGCCTACAAATAACATAAATAACAATACTAATGACATTAGTCAAAGCTCATTTACTAATCAAGTCAACAGCAGCAATACTACATGAAAATAATTATGAATGTTTATCCAAAGATCATAAATTTTTCATGATTATTTTCGTGAAAATTTTTTCATCATGCCTAACTTTTCCCAACAGCAAATTAAATCCAGCGTCTTGCTCCACGATGACCAAAATTGTTAAATGAAAAGCCAATGAAAATTTTGCGTCATCTATTTCCAGTTTAAAAAGTTCTTTTACTTTTTTTTCCAAAATTTCTTGTCTTTAGTGTTCTAGATTTGAGTAAAATAATTTAAAAACTAACTTTTTTTTGAAAAAAAAAATAAAATTCACTAAAGATAAAAAAAAAATTATAAAAAATCTTTTTTTACTTTTAAATATATTTATATATATGCTGTAGCTTTTAGATCCGTCTAACCTAGTAAAACCTAAAATGTAGAAATTTTTTGAATTTTATTTTATTTTAAAACTAAAAACAGAATACCAACAAAAATCTACTAAAAAAGCAATCGTTAAACCACATCATTTTGGAAAATATGATTATTTTTCCAAAATTTTCATACAAATCAATCATTCAATGACAACTTTGATTTCATGGTTTTTTTTTTTTTAATTATTATTTAGAAGTTGTAAAGTAATAGGCTCTGGCATATTATCTTATACACGTATTTTTTTATTTATTTATGAGAATCACTATTTTCACTCTATTTTCTCATTTCTTTGTTTTCAAATACATTAACCCCATATGGGGAAATTTACCAATAAATCCTATTTTACAAACTGTTATACCAAATAGTCCCACTTTTATTCTATTATACCAAATAATATAATTATATATAATAAAAATATAAATAAAATAATATATTTAAAACAAAGTAGAATAAAAATAGAGCATCCCTTTTTTATTTGTATATAAACCATAACATTGAACAAATTCATATGCACACATTCATCAACAATGAGAATAATATAGCACAGATCGGTAATCAATGACCTGATAACACGTAACAGTCTGAAAGCATCGGAGTTCCTGACTAAAATCCGCCAATCCAATCGTGTGGTGCAAAATCCGATTCGTCCCATAATCATTCGTATTCGGACCCCCAACAATGCAAATCACAGGAAGATTCTCACTATACGCACCAGCAATGGCGTTGATCACGCTCAGTCCGCCAACCGTGAAAGTGACGACACAGGCGCCGACGCCGCGAGAGCGAGCATAGCCGTCGGCGGCGTAGCCGGCGTTGAGCTCGTTGCAGCAGCCGACGTTGGTGAGGCCAGGCTCGGCAATGAGATGGTCGAGGAGAGTGAGGTTGAAGTCGCCGGGGACGGAGAAGACGTCGCTGATGCCGATCTGAACGAGGCGGTGGGCGAGGTGGCGGCCGAGGGTGTAGTCAGGGGAGGCCGTGAAGGAGGAGGGATGGTGAGAGTCGTGGACGGTTGCGACTTTGCCGTTGTCAGACTTGGATGAGTCTAGTGTTCCGATCATGGTGTCAATCATGTATGATCTGAATTCAGAGAAACTTGATCTCAGAATGTTATATATATATATAGAGAGAGAGAGAGAGAGAGAGAGAGAGAGAGTGAGTGGAGCAAGGGGAATGTGAATGTATTTGTGTATGTATATATATATATAAAATATATATATATATATATATATATGTGTGTGTGTTCGTATATATAGGAGTTGGTTTCTGGAAATGAGTGGAGGAGTGAGGACCAAGGCGATCTGTGCTGTGCTGTGCTAATTTCGTGGAGGGGAGGGTGTTTTTTATTTGGTACATATTAATTAGAATAATATTAGGGATCATGAAAAAAATATTATCAAATGTTTCATAAAAATTTTTCATCCCTTAATTAGTATGTGATGTTTTCTTTTTTGTGTAATCTAACGGTAGAAAATCTTTCATGATATTTTTTTATGATACATAACATTACTCATTTAATTATGAGTGATGCTACATATAGTAAATGATTTATTAAAATTTTTATCAAATATCTTATGAGTGTGAATATGTCTCATACTCTAAGATATTTAATAAAAATTTTACTAAAATCTTATAGAGTTTCTAGCATTTTAATTAAGGATTTTTATTGATAAATTTCATTTAGAAGTGTTTTAACCTAAGAAGTCTATGAAGGAATTTTTTAAGCCATTTAGTCCCATATACGTATAGTTTTATTCCATAAAGTCATTTTTTTTTATTTACACTATTTTCTTGGACACTTATGCCTTTATATTTAATTTTGATACCCTTATAAATATTTTTTGAACGGTTAGCAATTTTACGATGTGAACATTCATATTTTTAAATTCACATTGGTAGGAATTCAAAATTGACCCGTGGGCGGCCCGAAACCCGCCCACGAGTTGGGGCGTGCCCGGCCCGTTGACAATGTGAATATTCACATTGACATGTTAACATTCACATTAATAAGAGTGTAAAATTGGCCTACGTCCTGTGGCAGCGTGAAACCCGTTGGCGGCTCGGGGCGGGCCCGGTCTGGCTCGTTGATAATGTGAATATTCACATTGATATGTTAATATTCACATTGATAAGAGTATAAAATTGGCACGCGGCCCATGGGAGGCCAAAAGCCTCCTCCGTGGCCTGGGGCGGGTCTGATCCGGCCCAGCCCGTTGACAATGTGAATATTCACATTGACATGTTAACATTCACATTGATAGGAGTGTAAAATTAGCCCGCGCCCTGTGGCTGCCGGAAACCTGCTCACGGCCTGTGGGCGGCCTGGGGCGGGCCCGGCCCAGCCTGTTAACAATGTGAATATTCACATTGACATGTTAACATTCACATTGATAAGAGTATAAAATTGGCTAGCGGCCCAGGGCGGGCTCGACCCGGCCCGTTGACAATGTGAATATTCACATTGACATGTTAACATTCACATTGATAAGAGTGCAAAATTGGCCCGCAGCCCGTGGGCGGCCCGAAGCTCGACCGCAACCCGACCCGTGACATTGTGAATATTCACATTGATATGTTATCATTAACATTGATAGGAGTATAAAATTTGCCCGCTGCCCGAAGCTTGCCCGCAGCCCGGGGTAGGCCCGGCCCGTATTCACATTGACATGTTAACATGCACATTGATAGGAGTATAGAATTGGCCCACGGCCCGTGGGCTGCCCGAAGCCTGCCCACGGCCCGAGACAGGCTCGTTGGGGTCCAAGCTGGAGCCAGTGGGTCGAGCCTCGGGTCGGGCTGAGGGGCCTAGGCCTAGCCTCAAGCTTAGGTCGAGCTTGGGTGGGCCTGGCCATTTTTTTAAATTCTTTTTAATTTTTTCTACCAAAATTTTATTGTTTTTCACAAAAAAAGACACTAGGCCTCGGCGCAGACCGGGCCTCGGACCAAGCCTTGAATGGGCCTTAACCGGGCCGATGGGCTGGGCCGGGCTTCAAAGTGATGGCCTAGGCCCTAGCCTAGGGTCTTGGACTAGGCTCGAGCCCGGGTCCAAACGAGCCTTTCCTGAGCCGCGGGCGGGCTTCAGGCAGCCTACGTTCTTTTTGACTATTCCATTAAGTCCTATTTGAAGTAAGAAGACCAAAATACCATTTTCATCTACTTATATTCTATTTAGTCCACATTATTTTCTTATGTTTCAATAAGTCCTATGGGAGACATAATTACCAAAATACCCATAATGTGAATGTTCACATCGTCAATGTGAATGTTCATATCATCAATGCGTACAGGCCCGGGCCGGCCCATATCGAGCCTCATGGGTGTTCGAAAAAACCTGGGCCGGCCTGGCCTGGCCCACGGGCCAAAAAATTAGGCCCACGCCCTAGCCCTGGCACAAGGGTATTCGGGCTTTAGACGGGCCGATGGATCGAGCCTCAAGTCGGGCCGGTGGGCCTGGGCCTAGCCTCGAGCTTAGGTCGGGCTTGGGTGGGCCTTGCCATTTTTTTTAATTCTTTTTAATTTTTTCTACCAAAATTTTATTATTTTCTACAAAAAAAGACATTGCACCTCGGGCGAGCAAGCTGGGCTAGGCCTCGGACCGAGCCTTGAATGGGCCTTAAGCGGGCTGATGGGCCGGGCCAGGCTTCAAAGTGATGGCCTAGGCCCTAGCCTAGGGTCTCGAACATGCTCGGACCTGAACCCAAACGAGCCTGCCCTGGGCCGCGGGCGGGCGGGCTTCGAGCAGCCCACGGGCCGCGGGCTAATTCTACATTCATATCAATGTGCATGTTAACATGTCAATGTGAATATTCACTTTGTCAACGGGTCGGGCCGGGCCTACCCCGGGCCGCGGACAAATTTTACACTCCTATCAATGTTAATGTTAACATGTCAATGTGAATATTCACATTGTCACGGGTCGGGCCAAGCCCGCCTCGGGCTGCGGGCCAATTTTACACTCTTATCAATGTGAATGTTAACATGTCAATGTGAATATTCACATTGTCAACGGGCCGAGTCGGGCCCGCCCTGGGCCGCTGGCCAATTTTATACTCTTATCAATGTGAATGTTAACATATCAATATGAATATTCACATTGTTAACAAGCCGGGCCGGGCTGGGCCCGTCTACGGGCTGTGGGCGGGTTTCGGACAGCCATGAGGCGCGGGCTAATTTTACACTCCTATTAATGTGAATGTTAACATGTCAATGCGAATATTCACATTGTCAATGGGCCATGCTGGGCCCGCCCCGGGCCACGGGCGGGCTTTTGGCCGCGGGCCAAATTTGTACTCTTATCAATGTGAATGTTAACATGTCAATGTGAATATTCACATTATTAATGGCCTAGACCGGGCTGCCCATGGGCCGCGGGCGGGTTTCGCGCCACCACGGGACGCGGGCCAATTTTACACTCCTATTAATGTGAATGTTAACATGTCAATGCGAATATGCACATTGTCAACGGGTCCGGCCCGCCTGAAATTTTTCGGGCATCCACGAGGATCGACATGGGCCGGGCCCCTACACATTGACGGTGTGAACATTCACAGTAGGGGCATTTTGATAATTATGTCACCCATAGGACTTATTGAAACATAAGAAAATAATGTGAATTAAATGGAACATAAGTAAATGAAATGGGTATTTTGGTCTTCTTATCTCAAATAAGAGCTAATGGAATAGTCAAAAAGAATATGAATTGGATGGAATAAAGCTCTTAGAAAGTGGATTTATCAAAAAAACTTCCTTTTAATTATTATGAAGTCTTTTGGAAAACTAATAAAAGGCCACATAACTTATTCACAAAAAGACAAAATAAGTAAAAAGAGTAAAAAAATTAACTTTTTATTAACTTTTCAAAACACCCTATGAAAAATTATAGCAGTACTATCATATGGTATTGTGCTCCAAAATCCTTCAAAATATAATTCGGTCAATGCTTAATCTTATTACATGATTGTGTAACTTCATAAAAATTAATAATTTAAAAGTAATTTTTTTTAATAATATTTTTCTAATTTATTTAAATTATTTTTATCTTATAAAATATAAGTAAAATTTTCATCAAATAATCTCACATATTTTCAAAATAAAGGAAGTTATTATCAGTATTGCGCATTATACCAAACATGTCTTGCGATTTGAATTTGGAACCTACTAGCTACAACCCATTTAAAAATTAAAAAAAAAAAAAAATTATTTATGAATTGGACAGACCAAAATAAAAAGCCCCATAGCGGAGAGTAATTTTTTATCTCATCATAGGATTACTTGCATCCTTTTAATATTTTTTGTAAATTTATTTTTTTTTTATCTCACTGTTAAGTGATTCTTCTTATAAAAAAAAGTGGAGAGTACAAAAAATAATTTCAAAGTGATGTACAAGACTCAATTACACAATTTAATGCACGAAGCACTAGCTAGCTAGCGTTTATTAGAGTTTTCTAAATATGATTTGAGAGTACAAGTTGTATTTTGAGTTTGTGAGTTTTAGAATTATAATTTGAGTGTAGAAAATTTGTTTGGTGAATGAGTTTTGAATTGTGTGGAGAATTTTTGATATGACATATGATATTTGATACAAAAACTTACAACTCATACCAAACATACAATTCAAAAATCTATTAAAAGCTCATAAATTTTTTTTTTAAAAAAATTAAAAAATATTGTTTTATTAAAAATATTAAAAAATTAAATTTCAAAATTTAAAAGCCCCCCTAAAATGAGTTTTCAAAAGGAAGGGTGGAATTAATTTTTTAAAACTCAAACCAAACATAGGAAGGGTGGAATTAATTTTTTAAAACTCAAACCAAACATTATACTAGAATGTTGGGATATAACTATGATTCCAAAACCCTTCCAAACACAGCATACTTTCTCTCATTTTGAAATAATTTTTCTTACTCTTACTTTTTACATATATTTATATTCTTCTTTTTAAAAAATAGAATAATTTGTGTGAATTTGCAAAAAAAAAAATAAAAAAAAATAAATTATGGAGAGAGTGGTCCTCAGATGCCAACTAATGTCCATTAATTAGATGTATGAACAAAAATTCAAAAATCAAAATTTTGCTTTAAACATGAAGGCCTAAATAACCAAATTGGGGTGCAGGTGCGGGTTCAAACAAAAGATTTAATGGCTAGTTTGCTTACAAAATTAGAATTAAATTAATATTAA